GTAGCGAAAATATCGCTCCATCACATTGCCCAAGGACCATCCACACCGCAAACAAACACTGACAATAGACGGGCCACCGGTACTGCCCGACGACACAAATGTAGCCGAGCCCTTTCGAATGGAATGCGTGCCAATTTCGTTCGCTTTCTTGTCACTTCCCGCACCCACTTGCTGCAAGGAGGACAACAATCGCCCGAGGCTCTTGCCAAAGCGGTCCTATTGTTTGTTTAATTCTTAATTTGTAAATCGAATGAAACAAATACCTTTTGCTTCGCCCCAGGAAAAAGATTGTTGGGCAAGATTTGAGTGTTGCATGCCAAATAAATTCCCATTGCTAAAAACACAAACAAACTTGCGGCTTTAGAGGGTTCGCAAAGCAATGCTTTGGGTCCTTGTTTTTTGTTCCTACAAATAGTTCAACGATATTGTCCCACACCAACCAATCGAAACAAAAATTGCGATAATACCTTCTTGGCTTGTCTTAGTTTTATGAAAGACGAACCCAATGGCGTCGTCCTCACACGATTTGTGCTCGAATCTACCACGAAATTTTAATGGATATTGTTTTGCTCTGAATAAAGTAAATTGGTACCGTATCGTCTCCGTAGATTTGGAGCGGCACATCAAGTTCCACGAGAGGACAAGGTAGAGATGGGTAAATCCGCAATCGGGCAGGCCCATGCTTGCCGCGCAAAGCTGTTCAAACACCGAGAACGACATTGGACGCTTGCCAGTAAATTCCTTGGACCCACTTTGAAGGTTCTGGGCGATGGACTTTCGAATCCCTAAACCACCTTTATTTCATCTTTGCAATAATATCCATGAATGTACCCGAAAAAATAACCTTCATGTCGCTGTCGCATGGCTCCGGGAGGTCAACGCCTTGATCGATGTACAAACTCTTCACTGCACTGCGGTAGCCACTGAGGGCGCCTAGCCCAACATCTCGCTCCCGCACTGTCCAGACAATGAACTCCAACAAGTTCTCGTACGCAAACACGCGCAGATCTAAGGTCATGCGATCCCACATGCTCGGTGCTTGGCATCAGGAGCTCTGGCTTCCCTGTCATGATTGCCCAGTTGACTACCTGCTTAATTCCGGACAAGTATCCGAGTCGTGTGCTGTCTGAGATGCGACTGCGGCGCGCTCCTTCGATGGTGAAATTGCTGTTGGTACTCATGTTCATGAATGAGAGCCTCCCATTGGTGTGTACTATTGGTCGCCTTTTCTCTGTTTTTGAGCTATTTGATTGGCTATCCAAATCACAGGAAAATCTTTACTACGTGTTCATTCAAGACGCTGAAAATTGCTTCCGGTTATTTTCCGCCGATTTCAATAGTGAAACAAAGACAAAAACCTCCGGATGGACATATATTTGATACCGACAAAATCGAAGTTGAGGGAAGATTTTTCTTTCTATTCATTCAATTTCTCCATACAATTCTTACGTATTTCACCTTATGTTGCGAAAATTTTTGTGTATTTTGCATTTGTGAGCCAGTATTACCCTGTATGATTGGATTAAATCGAGAAAAAGATCGAACATTTTAGCCAATCCGAATGCTGATTCGACGGATGTGACCTTTGACGAGTTCAAGAGTGAAAAGTGCGCGTCGATGCGCGCTCACCTGTACAAGTTGCGGCGTTCGCGGTAGATCGGAGAAAGGCCCATCTATCATGGGTGCAGAAGAGATACTAGAGGAGGATGCCCGTGAAGACTGGATCAGTCGTGGGTTCGCGATGAAGGACTTCAGTGTGAAGAAAATGACAGGTTCGTCGCTGGGTCCCCTCCTCGGTGCTGTGTACTCGTGCTCACCCTCTTTCGCAGCGATATGGGATTCGGAGGAGAAAGAAGAAGTCAAACGTGCGAAGAAGCTTAAAGTTATCCAACACAAGCACCGACCTTTGAAAGAGGACATCAAGCACGTGGTGACGAAAGTAACATCCGAACTCCACAATATGTCGGAGAACGTCCGAGAAACTATACGGCAATTCGAGCCCGTGATCCTCCGAGATCGTCGATGGCTTAGAGAGCACGTCGCAACAATATTTCGCATGGACGAGGAATGCACCAAGTACAAACGCATGAAGGTGACGAACCACGCTGAGTATATGAGAACAGCCAAGCAGGAGCATACCAAGCAAGTCGAGCGACATGGACGCATCGAACACAAAGCGCCACTTCTTCGACGACTTCGGGAAATGAAAGAGGAAGCAGACAAGAGGGCACGAGCTCAAGCGACACAGGAACTCGAGGTACAGCTCGAGTTTCGGTGGAGGGACAAGGCTCGCTCAGTCGACCTCTGAACGTAGACAAAATGGAAGTACTGGCACGACCAAGAGATGGAGGAAAAGGAGCGATACGTATCCCTGACTCAAAAGCAGAACGATGACCACATTGCGTACAAGCGCAAAATGAACATGCAGTACTGGAAGGCCAAGGACAAAGTCGCTCGGAAGGAAGCCGAGGCAGTCACCACCGAACTTGCCCATGCTCGCGCTATGAGTGCCCAGGTACGAACGGTGATGTTATTGTGCAGGATGGAGTCTTCGGACGAACGGCATCACGCGAGTGCTCGCAAACCTCATGTATGTTGTTTGCATGGGGTTTTGTAGCACGCTGTCCAAAATGTAGTCGACCAAGTGGACGAGTGGCGGGGCGAAGAAGTTGAAAATGACGAGTATGGTACCCTCCGACACCAAACGGAATCGTCGCTCGGGGTGTTTGGGATTCCAGTCGAACGAGGAGCATTTTATTCGTTGGATGAAGGAGGATATCAACCGGAACTTGGTTGGCCATTCTTTTGACGATTCTTTGACTTAATCCTACGACAGACAACCACACGATTGCATTCCCGACGGCCGGTCCATTCGACACCCGGAATGAACTCCAGCGCGTCGAGTTGATGGACTATCAATCGAATCTAAAGGCCCTCGAAGAGAAGGTCGAGAGGTTGCGAGTGCAAAAAGCCAACACGATGGACGACCGGAAGCTCATTCTCGACAAGAAAGCGGGTGTTGTGCGAGGGTTAAACCAGGCAAAAGCAACTCACCGGGACATTTTAACGACGTTGGCGGGTCCTCCTCGGCGAGAACCTGGGGATGTCGAGCGAAGACATATCCACTCATTGCTCAAGCAACAGGCCGACTTCTCCTCAGAACTCAAGGAACTGTCGATTCGAGAGCGATTGCTCACGGAGCGCTTGAGTGGGTGCAGTGAGGAAGAACATGCTTTGGTGGAGCAAGTAGAGAAAGTTTCCGACGCAGTACGCGCGAAAGAGGCTGTCGTCGCAGAAATGGACAAGATGCAAAATGACTTGCCCATGGTCATTGGCCGCTCGATTGCCCATGGGTTTCAAGGATTTGACGGCGCGTCGTCGTCAAATGAGACTAAGCATGGCAACCCCATGAAAAACCTTTTGCCGCAAGAAACTCTAACTGCGATCACCCAACGAACCAAGCTCGAGTTACTCAAGGCCGCAGCAATACCAGCATTCCAGCTATACGAAGAAGCGCGATACCTCGGACTCGAGTCCTGGAAGGTCGGGTGAAATTTTGATGTGTTTGTGTATGTGTTGACGGGAGCTCATCCTTACCATCGTCTTAGTTATCCAAGCAAAAGATGGTCGACGAGGCTGAGCTGGAACTCACCGTGCATCGCCTCGCCAAGATCAAGGACACGTTGACCAAACAGCAGTCGCTCAACCAACGATCCGATGTGATCAACGCGCTTGAAAAGTTTCATGTAATGGAGAAGCGCCAAGTATGCCACCGATCGATTCACAATGTGGGGATGGGTGTGTAGAATAACCGAGAGCATCTGATCGCCGTCAAAAAGATCTCAACGGGGCCATTGGACTGGTGGAAGTCGCGCGATGTGTCGACGTCATTGGGAGTGTCTCTAGACCTGCAGAACGAGACGTGGGTCGTACTCGACGAAGGCAACCGTCGAGGACTCTTGCGTGGGGCCGTCATTTTGCCCAGCCACACGTTGTGGAAGCTTCGATTTGAGGTACATGCCACTTTACTGTGGACATGCTCGATGGTGCAAATTTCACTTCCAGCAACAAATCAACTGCGATATAGTGCGACCCGGCAATCAAATTGTACTTAATTCTGTGGGCTAGGTGGCTTTGCTGAATCGTGATGTAGCGAATGCCGCGACGTTTTCGTCCGAAGATCGAGTGAAAGTGAGTTTTGGCATGACGAGTGGATCTGTGGCGCAAATTGGATCATTTACAGCCATTGACGACAACGGCAAGGTGCGACACAGCATTTCGAAACTTTCGTCTTTCATGACATTCATGCGTCGAATATAGCTATGTGGGGCCCATTCGATCGTCCAAGACTACGTGGGCACACGGCTATACTACTGTTTTGAGTTTTTTCGGAGTTACCCGAGCATGGCGGCGTCTCAAAAATTGGGGCTCATGGTGTCGGGGACGTTCAAAGAAGACGAGACAGCTGCAGACGCAATCCCAAACGCAGTTCACGCAGGGAAACACGTCTTGTCAGAGTACGTAAAGATGCTCCGAGTCCAGTCGCAACAAGGCAACCACCGGTGCGCATCGCTGCTGGAAGAGCTGATCAAGGTTGAGAGCAGTCATGCCGAGCTGTGGGATTCCAAAGTCCTCCATGGGCATGCGCAAAGGTTTCCGCGGCTCACGTACGCCATCCACCTGCGAGAAGCTATCCAGCACGAGGTGCTTCTCCGACATACTTTACGTCATTATGTCAAGTTGATGATTTGTGGTCGTTGCAGATTTCAAAAGCCATTCAGCATGACATCAACAAGCGGCGTGTGGCGTTCGTGGATGCGGCACAACCAAATGCTTCGACCTCTATTGTTGAAGTCGACGTCGACGACGATGATAGCCAAGTAAAATCCAACTCGAAGGAGGCGCGTTTGGAGCAATCGATGTTGGTTGCCACAGTGTACTGAATTGGGTGACTGAATGAATTGTTGTTACAGGTTGGACTACCGCCACCGCAAGAGCGAACACATTGAGATTGCAACGTCAGCTGCAAGGGAGAAAGTTGGTCAGCGGATACAGCTCGATCGGGAAGGTGTATGGCAGCAGGGAATCATCTTAGCGATGCGAGTTGAATGGAAGGAAGGCGGCACCAAGCTCGACATATCCCACATGGTCCGATTCTTCGATATCCATGGCGTCGATATGACTGCGCTCGTTTTACAGGTTTTGATGGCATCAGCAACATTCAAGTGGGTAGATCTGGATCAAGTACGTTCAGTGAGAGCAAGGAAATGAATGGTATTGATTGGAAAATGTACAGCACACATTTGTATTACTCGCAAACGACATGGCACCGTTGCTCGAGCTCGAACGGGAGAAACAAGCGGAGGAACAGAAATTGCTCGAGGCCGAAGTCGAAGCCAAGAAAATTCAATCCGCGTCGAAATCGCTCCTCGAAATCGAGCAAGACTACGTCGCGATCAACATTCGCGAAGACGCACAATTTGAAAAAGTTCAAGCGATGGATTTGGCTCGTAGAGAGCAGAATCTTCGTCATGATGCTCAGCGCATGTGCACGTATGATCCCCAAGTGGTATCGCTCTTGGAGGTATAGCTGGTGGCATCACGCGCAGGCTCCAAAATACATTGCTGACAACGGATGGCCAGGCGGAAGCGCGGAGGTTAATGCAAAATGTCAACCACCACAATGTGACGTTCGAGCTTACGTTGAAGACGTTAAAGGCAAACTATATCCAGCAAACCGTCGCAACGCGGATGGAGTTCCTCAAGAAGACTTGGACGCGCAAGAATCAGCGGCGCCTTGATAAACGCAAAGCTGAACGAGATCAGCGAAAGCGAAAATACGATCAGAGCAATCAACAGGTTCTCGAAATGTCCAAAAAGGAACGGTTCGAGAAAGAGACAGCGGCAAAAAAGGACCAGGCTGCGGCAGAAGGTGTCGCCATGGCCGCGGCCCTTCAAAAAGCGTTGCAAATTCCTAATTTCAACCTGTCTGTTGCGCCAGAACCTCCTTGTGCCCACCGGTAAGCCCAATCTTCCTCCCGCAACTGCGTATAATCATAAATGGTAGTGAGCTGAAGCATTGGGGAGCAAAGTACGATAAAGGCATGCGCTGCAAGCACTGTGGGAAGGAAATGAGCCACGTCGTCGACGATCCAGATGCTGCGCGGGGGGCAGACCCAGCCTTAGACCGCGACGTTGAGAAACATCGCTTATTTGAAGCCAGTTTTCGGTTTGAAAACGCCGCGCACTTACAAAGAGTCGAGCGCGAACGCCTCCGCCTCGAGAAGGAGGCACGGGAAATGCAGCTGGCCGAGGTCCAGTCGTACGACTCGACTCATATGAAAGGTGCGCTCGACCTATGCCACCAGCGTTCAAGCTGTTCTCACCACTTCATGCGTCGGCAGCAATTGACGATCTCAATTTTCGCCACGTCATTGAACGCAACGTCGACGATCGCGACGAAACCCGCAATGCCATGGACAGACACGAGGCAGCATATCGTGACGAGCTGAGCTTTTTCGCCCGGGTGAATCAGTTTCGATACCGCTTGCGAATTTTGCAGGACCTTCGTGGAGCCGCGTATAAGGAGCGACTAGTCGAGGTGGGCTCGATCGAGCGTACGATATGACTAACTGATGCGTTGGTAGCTTGAATCTCTGAGTCAACTTCAGGTGGAACGTCAAACGACGCAAGATTTTGTCGTCGTCATCCAAGTCGAGCAAGAACGAGCCCGTCAGCTTCTCAAAGACCGACAAGCCGCAATTGATGCGTACAATGCATCGGCAAAACACCTCCAAGAGTGTCTCGTTGAGAAAACGGTGCATTCTTGCATCCAAGTTACGTCATTTGGACATATTGGTAGCTGGCATTTCGGGCGCGAGAAGGAGTCGAAGAAGAGGCGAAGATCGCTATGTTGCATGCAGAAGCGCTCGCGCGAACCAGTGCCAAGATGCGAGTACTTTGGGAAGCTGCCCATGCAGATCGACAACAAGTCAAGGAAACCGTCCGGGAGCTAAAGGGCCAGCTGGAAGATGCTGTCAAAGCGCGACAAAGCCTTAGTGAGCGACTCCTGGCCCTGCAGTATCGAAAAAAGGGCACCAAGGTACCATAGACCATGTGCAATGACATGTCCAGAAGACCGGTTGGACCTTAGGTCTATACCCCGTACGGCGAGGGACTCGTCCAGCATTTTCGCGAAAACGATCGAGTGCTTGTGATTCGACTGCACCAGTGGAAAGCCACCGTGTACATGTCCCTGGTGTTTTTCGTCCAACAAGATAAAGCGGCGCAACAACGAGAGCTTGTGGCGATGCGAAGCATAGAGGTTGAGTCGAGAGCCTTTGTGTCATACGAGCAGCAACACGAACTTGCCGAGAGTCACTTCATGGAGAAGGAGGACGTTTTGTGTCGAGAAATTGCAACATGGGCGCGAAACCAGGCCGCCAAAGTGGACGAAATCCGGGTAGCAGTGACGAAAATCGAATTGCAGACCCAAGTCAAGTTGGCGCTTACGGAAACCAAAGCTCGATTTCGCAAGGAGGCCAAGGCAGATGCTGTGCGCGCCCATTCTGCCAAGATTAGCATTGCACGGCCGAAACTCAAGGCGATTCCCAAGCGAAAACCGTTGATTCCACAGAAATCAAGTACAGTTAAGCAAGCGGCGGCGGCGATGGCGGCTGCAGCGAAAGTACCTCCGCCTGAAAGCAGCCCTGTGAAAACCAACAACGATGGCGACATGGCACTTCCAAAGCTCAGGAAGCAAACGACACTGGAAAAGAATCGACTTTCGCGTGCCGCGCTGAAGCGAATTCTTATGGCTCATGTGGAAGAAGCCATACTCAGAACGGAACGAGTCCACCTTGAAAAGTATGACCGAGTTAATCGCGCCCGTATTATCACCATGGTATGAACTCGTTCTTAACTGTATATCATGAATAAATTCTAGGTGGGTGAGAGTTGCGTTGCGAATATGCTGAACGACATGCTTCGTGGTATTGCAGAAGAAACAATTCGTGAAGGAATGATCACTGCCAAGACTATGGAGCTGCAGTCCACGATTGTGCATTCGCGACAGTATCCACATGTGCAACCTCATGTTCACATGGCGTTGCGACGCCAGGTTGTAACGCACAAGATGCAGCTGGAAGTTGTCAAGCGGACTTGGATGCGGCAACTTGAGCGTCTGCGGTGCGTTCAGGCTGAAGTCGCACGTCGCAAGGAAATCGAGCGCCAGGCCGAAGAAGAGCGCAAACGATTGGAGGCGCTTTGCAAAGAGATGGGGCGCGAGGAAATGCTGTGTCGCAAGTTCTACCGCGACGAGAAGCGTATGATGCTCTTTGAATCACGATGCATGCAGTTGGCCGAAGTACGTACTTGCACATCCGATTCGACTGACGTCGACTGACCACGATAGGTGGAAATGCGGGAGTACATGCGTCTATTCGAGCTACAGTTGATGCTTGAGAAGTACAACGCGCTTGGCGTGGACGACAACAGAGAGACCAGCAAACAGGCCCGTCGACTGCAGATCAAAAAGGGCAAGCGCGAAAAACAGCGCCTGGCGGAAGAGTGGGCAGCGATCAAAATCGAAGACGAGTTGGCCATGGCTGTGAGTGAATCGACGGAACAAACCTCGAAATGAGACCTGGGTGTCTTTAGATCCGAGAGGTGTGGCTCCAGGAACGCCGAGAGCAGGAGTTGGAGCAACAGCAGCTTGAATTCATGTTGCAGCAAGCAGAATTTCAGGAGTCGGATGGAGAAGATGAACAAGAGTATGACGACAATGAAGACGAAGTTCAGCAGGCAAAACAGGACGTCGTGGCAGCACATGCCAAGGAGTTGATGTTGCAGCTCGACCCGAAAGCACGAGTCAAGCTGGAGCAACAACTCGAGCGACGGGCGAAGGCAAAGCTCGTGGCGACGAAGAAGCGTGAGGAGTTTGCTCATCGACTGAATGAAGAGTACATGATGGCGGCTGCCGAGACAATGTTTGCAGTACGATAAACCTCTTTCCAAGGATGCATTTACGACGTGTCATTTCCATTGGTAGGTGGCCAACGCAGATTTGGCTGTCATCCAACTGCAGGAAAACCTCGTCTACCTTCAGCGGCTGGACAGCGACGCCGAGCAAGTCAAGGCAATGCAGATAGATTTAAAGCGAAGCCAGCAGCAGGCGAAAGAAATTACTGACGGAGCCCGTCGTAAACATGAACATGCTAAGGCCTGCATTGCACGGTGCTCCGCGGCTGAGGTACATCCCCATCTCATGAAGTCCCTTGCAATGTACTGACAAAAAAGTCTAGGCTGCGCTGGAAATCGCGATCGCTCGTGAAAAGCGAGATCAAAAGTTCATGCACAAAATGGTCAAAGATACTGCATATATGGATTCCAGCGTGCTGCATAAGCGTTGCCAGCGCTTTCTCACCGATTATTTGGCCATAGAGCTCTACAAGTACGTTCAATTTCTCCGATTGCTCCCGTTTTACTTCGATTCATGCCGACTGGACAGGAAATACTTTGATACGCTCGTGCACTTGATCGTCCTTCGAGCGCTTACCGTGACAGGAGAACGCACGTTGTTGGCGCTCGGCGAGCGCATTCAAACGTTGGATACCGAAAGGGCCGTGAAGACAGTCCAAGTTACGCGATTGTGGCGCAAGCACACTCGAGCAAGTCGCATGCGTCTATGGTACGACGGCACATTCCAACAACATGAAATTTACTTGAGTAGTCGCGCCGAACTGGGTCGATTAATGTTTCGCAAGCAGCGCAAGACCGCCCTCAAATTGGCTTTTCATGGTAAGCCCACGTGGCATTGCACCAACTGGAATAATGGATCTGTTTTGGCGACAGGCTGGCTCAAGGTGTGGCATCACTCGGTGGTTGTGCGGCATGCGTATGAGTTGCGATACAGCCTTGCTCGCCAAGACCAACGACTCGCGGCCATGGAAGCTAAGCACGTATGTGCTCTCGTAAACAGTGTGGAGAGGCGGCGCTCAAGTTTGTGTCCACAGGAATCCGGGTCCCACCTCAAGGCCAACCACGAGGCGTTGCCGTCCCAAACGATCTTGCGCAGGTTTCAGCACCGCTGGATCCAGTGTCGCCTGTGCAAAACCATGTATGCATTCCTGACGCAGCTTCGTCTGCGCGATTCGACTCCACGGACACGATGTTAGGTACTCGGACGCGCAAAACAATCGATTTGCATGCGCATATCACCCTGGCAAGTACGATCGCGCATGCGTTAAGACATGTCCATCGCGACGAGGCGAGCCGCTTCAGGCAAGTTGCATGCTCCATCGCGCGATGCGGTGGCTGTGCTGCGACGAGACGATTCAGGTATGGCGCGACAAACGAGTCGTTGTCATCGACTAAGTGCAAACATCAGGGGGCGTTCGGCAGCACGGGGTGTAAGCGACGGTTCCACGTGCCAGTGCGGGATGAACCAAATCTCCACGCAACAGTTCAGATTGCCGAAGCCCAAGAGAGGACCAAATTGGATCAAGTCAACAAGGAATTGGTCGAATTGGAGGCCAAGAGCGTGACCCGAACGGTGTACACCACGTTGCGGGACCAGCTGCAAGGGCTACAGGATGATTTAGCAGCAAAGCGGGAGAAAGCTGCTCGATACGATCAATACCACAAGACGTCTTGACGCTCCCCCTCGTACACCCGGTCGTTGGAAGCCTGTCGACCGAGCTCATCAACATTGTATTTATGTGAATTCACGGAATGCTCTGTCGGGTTGGCTAGTTCACGTCGTTGGGGATGGCGGCGAGGTGGTCTCCAACTGGTGAAAATACTTGAGCAGTTCGTCGGTGGTGGTGCCGCATGCCTCGGCGAGATTCGATAGGTGCCTACAAGTCCGTCTCAATCGACAAAGCCAGAGCACGCCCTTCGATCCTACTTGAAGCTCATTTGGTACGTCGACGTGTCGCGGGCGTGGTGAAGAATGTGGTACGAATGAAAGTCAAACTCGTCCACTTCGGCTGCCCGTTCCTGTTCCAAGATCGCCGCCACCTGGAGATCCGGCGCATGAGCGTCTCATCCATCACGCCGACGGTGCCTTACGATTGCCTGGATTTCATCGGCGGACATGTTGCGTGGCGAGTGCAGCGTCGCCCACGCCTTGGCAAAGTCAACGTTGTTGGGCTCGTAACCCGCCAAGAACGGATGTTCCAACGCTTGAAATGCCGACAAGCGTCCTGCAGGGTCCTTCGCGAGCAGGGCATGGACAAAGTCGTTGCACTGGGTTGAAAACGCTGGAGACGGGAGGGTTGGCATGGTTTCATTCACGATCGAATCTTCCAGGCCAAAGAACCCGTCCTGCTTTTCAAACGGGTACGCCCCCATGGCCAACGTGAGCAGGACAATGCCAACGGCCCAAATGTCGCTCGGGTACGAGTAGTTTTGACCTGTAATGCGCTCGGGCGACATGTACATGAGGGTGCCCTGGAACTCGGAAAAGTATGACTTGGACTTGCTCAGTGTCGCGGCGAGCCCAAAGTCGGCAATCTAGGTAAACACGTGATCCCCTCGCGTTGTGGGACGCACCTCCATACCTTGAAGTCGCCGCGGGTGTTCATCAAGATGTTGGCCGGCTTGATGTCTCGATGAAGCATGCTGGAGAAGAAATGGCACAGTTCAAAAGAACCAAATGATTTGACATTTCGTCGGTGACGTGTACGCACTGGTAGAGTTGCATGTGGTGCAGCGCTTTCATCGTACAATGCGCGATTTGCCGGAGCACGGTCTCCGGGACGACCTTCTTGGCATCAACGAAATCCTACGAGAGCTTGAGTGTGTCGCGGTTGTGGAGCGGCTCGATTGACACCTGCAGCGTGCCGGCGTTCATGTACTCCATCGCGATGGACACACTGGACTTTTCTGGCGTGGCGTACGCTCCGTAGAACGCCACCATATCCCGACACGCGTGGACATTCCCAATGTGAAGCTTTCGGTGGAAGAGTTTACCGAGATACTGCAGCGATTTATGCGTCGCTTCGTCCTCGAGCGGCACCAGGTTGTCGTGCAGCGCGTGCAGCTCGTGGGTCACCATGGCAAAATCTTCTTCGTGGAAGAGCTGCACTTCTTTGATCGCGATGAGTTTGAGAGTGGGCACAAAGCAACCCAAGTAGACCGTTCCACCTGCACCTTTGCCCAATTTCTTGAGGCGGCCGACTTCATTCGCCAGGTCGGCTGGCCCATCGCCGCGCACAGCTTCCAAAATCGTCTCGGGCGTGTTGGACGAGGATTTCTTTCCTCGGTTCTCCTTCTTGAGGTTCGCAAACGCTCCATTCGGTGGCGTTGGTTTCAATACCACTTCATCTTTGGCGCCTGCATCCACGTCCTTCGACGACAACTGGATGATGAGCTTGAGTGGTCTGGGGCGATGAGGACTTGTCATCGACATGGACGTCGGTACTGCAGGTGGAGAAACGAGTGGCCCTGGCAACGTCGACGGACGGTTCTCAACTGCAGTGACCGATGTGGAGGGTGTTTTTAGGTCGAGGGCGGCATCGGTTCGAAGCGACGGGGCCACTGGAAGCACGGCATCCATCGCGCTCAAAGTTTGCTTTGACGATACATCCCCACAAGATACGCATCCGGATACACTCCCGGATAAATTATCCGGGACGTTATCCACGATAATCGAGAGATCAATCCGGATAAAGATCGTTCCATGGAAAGTGCAATTGCAAACGAACACAATGGACGTCCGATCGCCCTACGGCCGCGAGAACGCCAGCGACACGTGCTTGTACGGATCTGTCGTGGGCCTGGGGGATGCACCTGTGCATGCGCTGCGTCTCCGGTCTTCTCCTGGACGAGGATTGGCCATGGAGCTCATGGACGACTCGGACGAAGATGCAGAGTGCCTATCGTATCCGCCCACCTTGTCGCCAGTGGAATGGTCGGCGACCCCGGTACAAACGGGATTTCACCAGGCTGTGGAAATGAACGAAGATATCAAGAGCACGACCCCTCGCGAGAAACTTCGCCTGCGACGTCGCAGTCGCTCGGACGCATCCTCCACGACTCCAGAAAAACCAGATGTGTGCCCAACGTCGTGCAAAACAGCTCCCTCAAATGCCCCGATTTGTGATGAATGCGAGTTGGAGGCTGCAGTTGCGACAGTCTACTGTCCAGACTGCGATTTACACTATTGTGCAGGATGCGACGACTTGCGCCACCGTAAGGGAAAGCTCACGCTCCATCAACGCACAGCATTGGAGACTACTCCACCTGCTGAAATCCCCGTTGCACCTCTTACAACACAGCAATGGACCACGAACGACGTTGCCAATTGGCTTGAATCCCTTGGTCTTCAAGTGTACGAGACCGCGTTCCAGCAGAAAGACATCGACGGTGCCGCTCTACTCATGTTGCCGCCGCATGGACTCGATGCACTGGACCAGCTGTCCCATGGTTCGTCCCGGGGTCACAAAAAAAAGTTGCAGAGAGAAATCCAGCGCCTTAAGGACGAGTTCCAGCAGCATCACCACCAATGGCAGGACACTGAAAAGCACAGCCAGTTGCGAGTGACTGTCGACTCGACCATGCTGCAACGCCGCCGAAGTGATATGGCATCTCCGGTAACGGCACTCCGTGCAAAGTACGTACTGTTTGAATACCCGCTGCTGCGTCGTAAGGTCTGTTAAGCTATGGCGTCGTGTAGGATCCATCAAAGCCAAGAAGGTAGAGGACGAGTTGTGCCTCCACGTCGCAAAAGCACCGCCGCCATCGTGTCAGCCTTTGTCAAACCCGTGTTGGACATTCCATCAGGTTCGCTGACTCTTTCGCGCCGACGTTGAACGTGCTCGCGGACGACTGCCATCACGAAATGCTTGTAGATGCCGCACACGCGCCAACGTCGTGCGTCGAGTCGTATACGAAACGCCGACCGGTAGGAGATCACTCTTCAAACGACAATCGACGGAGTGAAGAATGCAAGTTGACAAAGGGCGTTGGTTTTGGGGTAGGTTGCCAACCTGGGGCTCGACTTGAATCAAATGGCGGAGAAGAGCGTCAAAGCGTCGTTTGACTTCACGGCGGAAGGACGGTTGCAGTCGCACGGGTTTGAAATCAACGTAAGCTGCAAAAACCACAAGATTTTGGCCGACTGGCATGGTGTCGTTGAGGAATGGATGGAGGAATGCAAAACCTAACGAGCGGGGCAATATTCGCAGACGGATGGCATTACGAGCACGCCGTTCCAGGTGGGTGGGAAGCCGTCGACGTTACTCTTTGGCACAAAGGAATCGCTGGTGCTCCTCAACGAGTTGGGCCACGGCGCCAGCGGCAAAGTGTACAAAGCACTGTATTTGCCCACATTCAAACTTGTGGCGGTCAAGGTAGTGCATGTCCATTTGCACCAGATTGAGACGCTGCTCAACAGATTATCCGAGTGTACGACCAAAAGAAGCGCCATCAAATGCTACGGGAGCTCAAGTCGCTGTATGCAAACTTTGTGTCGCTCAACGAGACGGCAAGTACGTACAGTTCAACCGGCGAGGTCGGCATGGAACCCTTCTTACCCGTATCGGGGCGTAGACAAAGGAGCTGCCGGCGCCGCTTGCCAGGACTTGGTCATGTTTTACGATGCCTTTACCAACCCCGAGATTGGATCGGTTTCGATTGTTCTCGAGTACATGGATGGTGGGTCCCTCGAGGTACGTGATTGTTTTGCAGCGTCCGAATGGGTGGTAGCTCCGTTTTGGCGTTGGATATAGGACATATTGCATTCGCGAATCCCGTGCTCGGAGGACACGATTGCCGCTATCGCGACGAGCGTCCTCAAGGTAGCGCGCAGTCGGTGCTGCCACATCCCATCCGTCAACATGCATTTTGAATCGACATGGGCAGGGATTGTCATTTCTGCATGACAACCGCCAACTCCATCGCGACATCAAGCTGAGCAACATCCTCGTCAACAAAGCTGGTCGGGTCAAGATCTCGGACTTTGGCATTTCGCGAGAATTGGAGAGCACGCTGGCCGAAGCCATGACGTTCACTGGCACACTGCTGTACGCTCTCTAGTCCCTGACCGAACAAGAAAATGTTGAATGCACGGCTGAATAGGTACATGGCCCCGGAACGCATCAGCGGTGGGACGTACTCGTACCCTTCCGACATTTGGTCGTTCGGGTTGGCGCTGATGGCGTGTGCCATCGGCAAACTACCAATGCCGACGGAAGACGGGTACTGGGGCGTTGTCCACGCGGTACAGGAACAACCGTCGCCCCGGCTGCGAGATTACAGCGCCGACTTTTCACCGGACCTGTGCGACTTTTTGGACCAAGTATTTCCCTTTGGTTGGTACTGTTGTGCGAATCTCACCGATGGTAGTGTTTAACCAAGGACCCACTCAAACGCCCCCCGGCGTCGGTCCTGCTCTCACATCCATTCATTCAGCGCTATGCAGGCTCGACGGTCTCCCCCGTACAATTGAATTGACACAACGCCGTGTATTGCTGACATCGAATGGCAGGTGTTTCCGTTCAAAGATGCGCCATGCCAAGATGACATCGACGCCGAGTTGGCATTTGTGGCCAACAAGACGCGAGCGTGGATGGCGGCGCACGATCGATCACGACTGGCGACGTTGATGGACTCCCCATCCACTCGGTGCGCCGATTTACGTGCCACGCACTGCCGTGACTTGAAGTTTGTGCAGGGTGAATGCGCTGCGAGCGTTTGCCAAACAGATGCATGCGACGTACGAGGCCGTCGAGTCGGCGTTCTGGTTCTTTTGACACGGCCAACGCATCGATGGACACGATAAAGTCTTACGTGGTGCGGAATTCCATTGCCGCCGCGCAACCACGATTTGATCCACAACATGTTTCTTCGTCTACACAACCTTCCCTGCTGACGCTGCCCCGTATACCGGGTCACTTTGTAGCAACGAGGCCTTTTCACCAGCAGTAGCCCTCGAGTCGCTGGTGGTGCAGTTCAGATCTCCAGAAGCTGACCGTTCTAGAAGCGTCTTGCTGCCGTGCTTCATGTAGTAGAGCGTGAGCGCGCCGACGATGGCGCACACGGCTGGCAAGATGCAGTACGCGGCGCGGACAAACTCGCCGTCTTCGGCCGTGGTCGACGGAAACTGGGCCTGGATGGCTTCGCGCTCGTTCTGAATCCAGAGCACCGCGACCCCGTTCGAGATCTTGTCGGTGAAACTCATCGCGCCGTACACGAACGCGCCGCTCTCGCAGCTGTCGCCGACCAAGTCGCCCTCGAGGCACACGGACGTGACCATGATGATCGAGTTGCCAAAGCCGAGGAGCACCGACAGCACGTAAATCCACGACGACGTGTCCGGCGTCAAGAGCCACGCGAGAGCGAGCGACAGCGTCACGAGCGCCGCGCCCGCCGCATACGTCCCTTCTCGACCCATCTTTTCGTTCATCCAGCGCAGAGGAAACGTCGCGAGGAACCTAGGACACACGTCAAGAATAACGATCGAGACAGAGCAGCGACGGACCCCGACACGTAGACGAGCAGCGGCACGATCGCGATGGACGTAGCAGACATGTCGAGCGTGACCGTGAGCAGGAACGGAATGTAGACTTGGGTCACGTTGACCGTGAGCCGCGTGCACATGTACACGACCCCGACTTCGTAAAACATGCCGACCTTGAACCAGTCGAACCACTTGAGCGCGACCGCCGTCGAGTCCATCGCCGCGACGAGAGGCAGGTCCGCCTCAAACGTGAGCGCGTTCGGCCCGCGGTTCAGCGCCTCGCCGTGCGACGGACTCGGGGTCAACCGACGCTTGGGCGGCGACGGTGGCATCTTGACCACTTCGTCCGTGCCGAGAAGGAACCACGCGGTGCAAATGCCGCCCACGACGAGCGATACGGTCGTGAGCAGAGTAAACTTGTACGCGTCGGGGACCTCGAGCGGGTCCACGTCGTGGAGCAGCAACAGAAACACGACAAACACAACGACGTTCGACAGGATCGTGAACGCGTACCGAGTGCTGTTCAGGACGCACCGAATGTTGTCGTTCGTGGTGAGCTCGGGGACCTACGGCCGGCCATCAGGTCGGGTCCACAAGCCATGCGTACCATGGCCATGTGCGACACTTGGACAGCGGCCCACCCGACGTTGAACACACTCGCGCTGACGCAGTAGTACAAGACGAGCGTCAGTCGCGACGGCGACGCCGTCAACAGCTTCGGCACGCACGTGCCAAACACTCCGTAGAAACACACGACGACGAGGACGGACCCGCCCGCGAGCCACGTCTTGCGTCGACCAAACCCGATCGCGGGAAACCCGGTCGACTTGTCCGACACAACTCCCACGAGCGGCGTCGCAAGGCCGTCGGCGATTTGGCCGGAAAACATGACGAGCGCGCTGTCGACGGGGGACAAGCCCGCGACGCCATTGAGAAACACGAGGAGGTACGAGAACCAGCACGACGCGCACATGTCGTTGAGGACATGGCCGACGGCGTACGCGAGGATCTTGGTGCTGGTCCATGCCGTGGCCGACGATGTCGGCGGCTTCTCCGTCATGGGAATGACGTCGGGTCACGACGTGGGTGCAAAATGCAAAGTGACGCGACGAGCGGTCGGTGGGTGGCTGGGTGGGAGGAGCGCTTTTCTCTCGTATACTACAAGCGGTGGCATGTTGGCTTGGCGCAAACCAGCCGTAGAAAGGCGGTCGGTTTTGATTGGCCGACGAGCCGTCCTTCCGTCGAAGTTCCTCGTGACATTGCACCACCCATGGGTGGTAGTAATCACCAAAACGTCCATATTAATATTTGCGTTTTCGGTCAAGTGTCGTTACCAAAATAGGTGCTCCAATGCAATTTAATTTGACCGGTCATTTTAATTCAAGACATGTACCGCAACATGTCATTTTAGTGGCCGACACCGCACACCCGCCGCCTCCCGCACCGTTTCTCGAGCTGCCCCACCAAGCCTGCAGAAAGCGAGCCATGTTGTTCCTTGTCTTCGAAGCGCCAGTGGTCATGCTGCCAAC